AGTGGCAGAAGAGCCTAATTTAGAGTCCTTGAGCCAAAGACCAGGGGAGCTTCCAAGCCAGGTCACTGAGGAAGAGGGAAGCAAGCAGTTGGGAGGGGTGAATGTATGCATTTGGGGTGGAGCAGAGCTACAGAGAGACCGGAGAAGAGCTGCAGATTTCTGTGGTGCAGTTTTAAAGTTACTGCTTGAGAGATAGCGAATAAGGCTAACAACATTATCAACTACTTAAATATATGGTATCTCAAGAATGCATTGTATTTGGGAAACTCCAGAGGTGTAGTTCAGTGGACAGCTATAAGATAACCTTAGGGTGATTGTGGCAAGACTATAGTAACTAGAAAATGTTTTACCTGGAGGTAAGACTCAAAATGATCCTGGTGATGTTTTATCAATCAACCAACAAATCTCTGTTGACTAAGGTCCCTGTTCTTGAAATGAGCTTTCTTAAATGTTTATGAAAAAAAAATGCATTATCTGATTATGAGAGCGACAGTTCCGCCATCATTTTAATTTTACTCTATTTAGTTGGGAAACTTAAAGTTCAGCTTTTTAAGTTTCCTTTGGCAGCTTACTTTGCTTTTCCTACCTCGAATGCCCATTGAACTCTAATGAGAACTCTTATAAAGAGAACTGCAGAAAGAGGAAATGGAGAAAAATCTGCTCTAATGATTTGCTATCATCTTTGGTAGGAGAAGGGAAATGCACTGCCTACAGACCTATGATTTTTAGAGACAACTGAAGCCAGAGTAAGAAGACTGTTCTTAAAATGGTGGTGTGTACAATGCCTATCTGTTTGTGGATCATTCTCTCATTGATCCCTTGCAGCTTAACTACCGGGAGGAGAAATCAATAAGAGAGAAGCAAGGTCATTCAACATCAGGTTACTGCATAGGAATGAGAAGGAAGGCTAGGAACCGGCATTGGGCTTTGGCTGGGCTTCATAACAGCACCCTGGCTGACTCTGGACACATCAATCCCTCTATCTCAGCTCATGCAGCTACCAAATAGATGTGGGAAGAGAGTCAGGTACCATCTATGCAAGACAGGGAACCTCAAGTTCAATGTTATTACATTGCCTCCCTGTGCAACTCTTACAGGTCATCCTTTCCTGGGAGAATTTATGGAAACTGATTTTTCCCTTATCAGGCTTCCTCTTTCCCATCCTTGAAAAACATATTTTATGTGTCAGACACTATGTTCCGCAATTTTTATATACATTGTTTAATTGAATCCTCCCAAGAAGCTCAGAGAAGTGTGTGGGAGTCGCTGGTGAGTGGTCAACCCTGGCCTCCTTGCTAGGCCAGCCTCTTCTGCCTCACGTTTGCCACACTGGAAACATCTGGAGACCATTAAAGACAATAATAACAACACAACAATGGACCGATGCTGGGCCCGCCCCAGGCTTGGTGAATCAGACTCTCTGGGGTGTGGAGCCAGGGCTTCAAAACTCTCCCAAATGGTGGATGCTAATGTGCAGCTTGGCTTGAGAACCATGCTGTTAGCCCATGCTAGCTTTCCAAAATGAGAAGGAAAAACAAGAAGAAAAAAGGAAAATGCATAAGACTAACATTTACTGAGCCCCTACTACACACCCAGTGTGAAATCTTATCTACTCCTCCCATACAACGGGGGGAGATTATTCCCATTTTACAGATTTGAAAACTTTGGAGTTACTTAACCACAGAGATTAAGGAATTTACCCCAAATTACCGAGTTTATAAATGGCAGAAAGGTGATTTGAACCCGGGTTGTGTTCATGTTACTACACCACATAGCTAAGAAACATGCCTCTGGCCCACACTGAGGACTCAAGAGACATCAAGCCAGGCTTATAAGAATGTAAGCTTGGAGCACAGGAGAATTTGAGTAGAGTGCAATAGCAAGTGATAGAGGGTTTCCAAGGAGAACAGTAAGGTGGAAGTGCCTGAGAGGAGAGAGAAAAGCATGGTGCATCAGACAAGAGAAAGAGCAGAGGCAAAGCATAAGGAACTACTTCTGTTACATTCACTGCCTGAATTCTCACAGCAACCCCGGGCAGTAGGAACTATAATCATCCCACTTCTGCAGATGGGAACACTGAGGCCCAGTGAGGTTAAGCAACACCCGCAGGTTACACAGCTGGTGAGTGGCACAGTGTGGATTCCAACCCCAGGTCCAGGGTCCTAACCACACACAGTTTACTCGCCGTCACTTTTCAAAGGAAGAGTAAGAAGAAGAGCAGCAAACAGGATTCATTTTGTTTAATGCTCTGGGGCAGACACTGTACATTCATTATCTCAATGAATCAGTGAATTCTGGGAATCACTTCATCCTTGTGGAGAGACTATGGCCTCTAATTTGAGTCAAGGAAGCAGGCTGGCCAGGGTTACAGTATCTCACTTACGGTCTCAGTGAAACTGAAGCAGCAGTTCCATACCCTAGGTTCAGTGTTCAAACCCTCATTCAGTTTATTCCAAACCCATGTTCCACAAGAACAACACTAAAGTTAGAAGTAGCATTAAAATACAAAGGGTCAACAAACACGGCGAGTAGGGCTCTGTGTATGGAAAAAACAGACCGTGGGAGAGGATTGAAATGGATTTCATTAGGAACAAGGAAATATTTTAATTTTGTTTGGTCAGGGAAGAACTGCAAATAGCCAGCAGAAAGTGATTTGGAAATAAACATTCGAAACAAATGCCAGATATTCTTATCTTCACTGGTTATTGAATTTAGGCACCATCATCTGACCGGAGAGTAAATAACCTGTATGTGCAAGGGCTTCCCTTAGTGCCTACCTGGGGCCGTAAAACGCCAGCAGAGCGGTCACATTTGATTGCATCCGACCTTGAAAACTTGACTTCAGTTGCATTCTTTAACCACTC